CGCCTTGCAAATAAATCCTTAGAATGCCTTTTTTTATTACCACTGCATCGAATGACCTTGCTGTCAATTACAGACAATCACAGTAAAACACAGAAAAATAATTCTACTGGTGAATCGAGCAGTGGCAACTCTAATTAAAGCAAAGATAATTATAATAAACGCTACAACGATTGAAATAATGATTTCAATTTAATTACAATAAGAACGGAATAAAACGCACAATAAAATTAATAATTAATGCAGCAATAAAAATAATAAAAAATGTTTTAATTATAATAATTTGAAAAATAGATTTTGTTTTCCTTTCTCCCTGTTTCTATTAGATCGACATTTGCAACATTGGTACAAGGTTGTTTCAGCTAGAATTTTTGAAATGCCTGCGGTGACCCAGTTTTCACCCCTGCTTAAAGTTACCCGTTCTTTAGAAAAAAATAAAAGTGACATAAGATTGTGGCTTAGAAAAACGTTTACAGGCTAACTACATAGCTGTGGAATCTTACATCCATTAATTTTAACTTTATTTTTTTTTTATATATTTCTCCAAAAATGATCTTATACATTTATATGCCTACCATTCATCCTTGCTTAGAAAATTACTGTTAGATATGGTACACTGCCTCTGCTATTTACCTTGATTTCCTTGAAAAAAAAATCCAAAGAATCAGCAATATTATTGGTCCTGATCTGGTAGTTCGGCTTCAGTCATTTTTTCACCCCTTTAACTTTGCCGGTCTCTGTCGTTTCTATAAATATTTACATAGTATTTTTTCGGGTCAGCTCCTTCGCTGTAGTATCTAAACATTTTTTTTTTTAAATATTAAGCTCAATAATAGCCTGGCGTCAAGATCTCATCAATTTAATTTTGAGTTGGCTAGATGTTGGTTCTTTCCAAACAGTTTCTTTTCTCGCGCTTTTCGCTTGTGGAACTCCCCTCCAGCGCCATGTTTTCCAACCAACTTTAATCTACAAAAATTTAAATGCAATTCCAATCTCTATCTACTGTCCTCTTGATTAATATGTCTCATTCTGCTCAGTATTAATGTTTCTGTTCCTAATTCTTCCACACCCTGTAGCACTTTGCGTCTTAGTGGCTTTACTGCCTTGAGCATGGGGTCGTCATGTATGTATGTAATTTTTCATATGTCAACAGCTTTTTCATGCTTTAATGCGCACGTGACCATGACATTATAACAAAGAAAGAAATTCCATAACGGATAATTTTTCCACGTTCCAATGGACGCTCAGCACATTGTCAACGGTTTTGCATTTAAAAGCATAATGAAAAAATTACAATAATAATGGGTAACAACGCACAACTTTGTATAAATACTTATACTAATGAACAACATATATTTTGTACGACTTGCACACCTGAAGATAATCTTGGAAGAAGATCGAAAGTACTTGGGAAATGAAAATAAAGGAAATTTAAACAACTATAGCACATTTCTCTAATTCTTTAACATCAATACACGGAAGATTATTTGTGGGTATGAGAGGATTTTAATAAAAACTAGCAGTAGAGCCCAGCGTTGCCCGGGGATGTAACAGTAAGAGATAGATCAAGTATCGACCATCATAAAGACTGAAAAATAAAATTGACAAAGATTATTGTTTAAGGTTGACGGACACGCATGTCTTAATTAGTTGTTTTTTCTTTGTTTTTTTTTTACCAATTGATCAAACCCAAACTCAAACAAAAACATTGTTTTCAATCGTTATGAGTCTACCGATTGAATAGAATTTTATTATAAACAATTGGTAAATGGAATTTTTAAAGCATTCTGAATGTAAAAATAAAAAAAAGTGTGCAAGACAATAAGAAACACTACCTGCCAAAAAAAAATGATGTTTTGTTGAAATCGGTTGAAAAATGTAGGAAATCCGATCCCATATATAAACGAACACACACACACACACGCGCGCACACACACACACACACACACACACACACACACACACACACACACACACACACACACACACAAACAACCTGGGTTTTATAATAAGTATAACTCGATATGAGTTGTCCCCTTTTCATTCTCGCGACAGCGATGCCTCTTAATCGTGTTTTCAAATGGATTTCGTGCAAAAACAATTGTTTTTTCCACAATTTTTGGCGCTGTCAGAACCACCGCAAGGTAATTTTACGTAGTCCTGTGAAGTTTTGTTGAAATCGGTTGAAAAATGTAGGAAATCCGATCCAATATATAAACGAACAGACACACACACACAACCTGGGTTTTATATTATATATGATTAGCAGACATAATGTCTTTAATTTATTCAATCAAACATGCCTAAAAGAG